ACAGACGGACAGACGGACAGACAGACAGACGGACAGACAGACAGACAGACAGACAGACAGACAGACAGACAGACAGACAGACAGACAGACAGACAGACAGACAGACAAACAGACAGACGGACGACGGACAGACGGACAGATGGACAGACGGACAGGCGGACATACGGACATGCTGACATACGTTCATCGTACATACATCTGATGTATCATCAATGTTTGCTTGCATGCACAGGTGATGCGAACGCTTCTTTCTCGTGCATTCGTTCACTTCGCAATCTGTTGAGGCGTTCCGTTGTCTGTCTGTGTATATATGTTCTGATCACCGCATCAAGTACTGCATGCATGCAGCCTTGCCGAGCAATGTCAGTAATCTCTTTACTTTCGCTTGCAGCTTGGATCTTCGGTTGGAGGAGATCTTCGGAGACGCTGTGGGGATGAGAGCTTGCGGCAGGATATCTTAACGCTAGGAGTCCTGTCTAGGCATCCTCAAGCGATGACTATTTTACCATGATCCTCACCCTTGTACATTGGTCCAGCTATAGCTTTCTTTCCTCAGAAACTCACAGGATTCTGCTGCTGAGCTCCGACAAGTGCGTGTCGGAGTCCAAGATGCAAGGCTGGAGCTTGCAGAGGAGCTACGAGAAATACCTGCGAACCACAACTTCCCACAGCTTGCTAGCTTTCTACAAACACGCAAGACATTGGATCAAAACTGCATGTTAGGACCTCCTTCTTGCCGCTGATGACGGCATGGAGGTTCTGCAGGTGATCCCAATGGAAGCCCGCTGTGAGGTGCCGAGTGCCCTGGAAAGTAAGATGCGCAACACGGCTCTCGTTGTGAATGCAGGCGGCACAGCAATGAATGGTTACCGATCGGGGGAGGAAACCACTTTGGATCTTCGAGGGCCTCTGGGCCTCCTGCGCACATCCACAAACGACGCTCTCGTAGAAACGGCTGCCATTCAGGCATGTCGAGCTTAGTTGTCAGATCGCCGGGGACGAACTCCTCAAAAGACAACAGCTTCCTTGCACTACCATGTCCCAGAACCTGAACTGTGCCCCGGTCCTGCAACAAATCGTCCGGCCAGTCAGCTGCATCATCCACGCAGTACAGCGACAGTTGCTGCAGCTCTCTCAACGGCACGTAGAGTACGTCCTGCGATGCCTGTGACAAGGCTTATGACGCAGAAGCGGAAAGCAATGGTGTGCTTGCATCGTCCCTTGATCATTGCCTGTGTCTGCTAGGGTTTCTTCGGCGTTCATCCTTCACTGTGCACCGATGGTTCCTCCGCACCTTTACCTTCCGCGAAACGCTTGCAAGGTGACCACGGGAAACAGATCATACATGCCGGCACCCTTAGCAGTACGGTGTATGCGACCATAGAGTCCATGTCATCAACCTCATTCAACCTCCAATCGCATCCGAACCAGCTTCATCGCAGTCCCTGCCCTCGTCACCTTTGTTGTCCTCGCAATCTGCGACATCATCTTCTCAGTACCAAGCTCGTCTGAAGCCGCGCTTCTCATTGTGTTTCATTAAGAATCCCACGGTGCCGGGGTTCTGATTCCGCTCTACGTGCGCACCTTCAAGTCACGACCTGTGTCCGCATCGTCAGCATCGTAAGGCATGCTCACCTCATCTTCGCGCCAGCGGCTGGGGACACTCGTCACTTGCCATATCGATGTGATCTGCTCGCCGAGTCGCAGCACGAGCCGCCGTCTCGGTTGGCGCGACCACTCCATGCTTCAGCTCCGCAGCGGTGAGGAAGTCCCCGAACATCATCTCCAATCGCCCGGGATTGATTAATCTGTGCAAAGTGTGCCGCAAACAGGAGGAGGAAATCTCTCGAAAGACTCGGCGCCCAGGCCTGGGGGCATCAGCTCCCGGAGGCTCGCGGACGGAGCGGGGCTTCGTCTGGAAGCTTCTGGGAATCTCGTAGTTGAAAAAGGACGCGGTCGGATCAAAACTGACCTGAGAGGAAGTGCTAGGGCTAGAGCCGTCATTGCAGGAAAAAGACATGTCGGGTGCTGCCAGCATTGATGTCATCCAAAAGGCTAGGCACCTGATCGGCTCTGATTCAAACGCTGCTCTCTAACCCAAGATGCTTCACTCCGCCCCAGGGTATTGCTTGCACAGACCAGCCTTCTGTTCCCCAGACATCGTCGAAGCAGTTGAACATTGTCCTGGAACCGCCCCTGGACGACCATGGGCCAGTCAGCCGCAACACCACGCCTTGGCTGATGCTGCTTACACCACAGGCTGCGTTCCCGTATTAAGGCGGCCAGGCAGCAGAACACACGGCTGGCTCCGCGCTGCAAAACCTCGATACTGCTGGCTGTTTGGCAATGTCACAATGATCTTCCTGTAGCACACTCGCAGTTGCGCCTCTGAAACGGTCCAACTCCCAGTGAAACACCTCTTCCAACTGCTGAAGACACGTCCCGAAAGCCGGATGTGGCCTGAGGATCGCAGAGAAACATGTAGGTAGAGCACATCATTGGGTAGAGCAAGTCCACGAGCATAAATTTCTAGGCGCTTGCATTGCAGCTGAGAGACAGTGTAGTTTGTGCGCCACATGGCTTATCACCCCGGCAAGTACTGGAGGAGGGGGAGGAACCACTCATTGCTGCAGCATGGTGAAACCCTTTCCACTACCCAACACCTTTGTGATTCTCTTTGGTAGTCGACTGTTTCACCGCACAGAGCAAGAAGTACCGACAAGCGCGCCGCGGCAGCCTATGTCTAGTACACTCAGGCCGAAGGTCGACACGGCGCTGCCTGAGGTTACCTTAGAGTCGGCGAAGCCTTCCTGGCACCAATGAGCTAGACTGCGAGTCATTATCACATCGGCACACCGGTAAACATAAAGGTGTGCATTGATTACAAGTGCCAGATGATTAATCTGGCAGAATCTCACTAACAGCTCCGGACTCCTCTTTGGAGCCCTCGAAGCACGGCGAGGCTGCTCTTCAGCGTCGCCCGTGTCTGCGCTCTCTCGCTGTGATTTCCGACATGTTGCGCCAATGTGTCTTTGGCACACTGCGATCCTAACTCTAGAGGTGGCCAAGGGTTTGCTTGCCAAGCATCTCCACAAATCAACAGCGATGAGAGTACGACTGCTCAGCATTTACCAGGGAGAAATCTTCAGCGCTCCGGCTCTGCAAATTGCCACAAGAAGGCCTGCCAAGAAGGCAATAAAACTAACAAAAGCCAACGCAGTTCTCATGGAATGGATCAGGTTGCTTGATCATGCTTGGCCTGATTCATCGAAACTCGGCGCTCTCGCCTGGAGCTCCGTCCCTCGCAGCTCAGTGTCTGAAACTGATCTATGGGGCCCGCTGGCTGTCCCCACATCTGCGACGAAAATCGCAGCTAAGCAGCATCTCTGGGTTTGCAGGGCGAGCTTGCATCCATAAAGGACTCGGATGTGTCCGAAGCCTGGGAACTGAACGACAGCTCCACTGCCGGATGGCAAGAAGGTGTTCATTCTGCATAAGAACATGTAAGAGCGCAAATGGTTCTTGAGGGCGTTCGTGTTGAACCAGCACTTGCTGACGAGATTCGACACTGCTCGCTGCAGCCTCATCTCCTGCTACCTGTAGATGTGACTGCAGACGAAAATTCATGGCGCCAAGATTGCCAGAATCTTGTTTCGACTCTCCAGACAATATCGGCATAGGAAGCCCGGGATTGGATTCCATCCCCGGCATCAGCCCACACCCTCTGTCTCGTTTGCTATCCGGGAATGTGGACCCAGCCTCCCCACACAAGGAAAAAATGGGACACAAGAGCTCCGCAAACGGCTGAGATCTCTCAGAGCTGAGGATGGTGAAGCCTGACTGTGAAACGCTTGCGAAAGCGACTCCGATGTTCTATAGTCCATGCAGTTGGGCTCCTCTTCCGGCGCCGGCGGCTGACCGGGGAACTGTGCGAGAAACTGACACCACCATCACGACCACCAGAACGATAAAGCGTTTCGCTGACAACATTGAGAATTCACTGCCCTCCTCCGGCCAGCATAAGGAGGGTCCTAGGTTGGTATGCTGCCCCACAGCTGGGGCTCCGGGGCTTTAGCGTTCCTGAATCCTGTCTCACGAAAAAAGAAACCAGTGACACAAAGGATACTAATGAACGTCTTCCCATGCAGAACCTGCTGACTCGCGATCCCACACGGCCCAAGTCTCAAGTCCCCAAAAGCCCCTGTGCCTCTGCTACTGGCTCGAACTCTGGCACACTGCCTGCGCCTGCCAAACTGCAAACATGTTCATGGGCACTGATCAAGCTCGGCTCAGGGTAGTTGCGCACTGGACTGGGATGCTTCCTGCTCATCTTACTTTTCAGAGAAACTCAGTGCAAGCCTGCAGTATCGTCTGCAGGCTCGTGCGTCTCGCAGTTGGGTGCCATCTGGGACAAAGCAGAACCTGTATCAAGCACACGCGTCAACTAAAAACCAGCTGCCATTTGTGTGGCCCACAGTTGTTGCAACAGCCTGGCTGCCCGAAATCCTCTTCCCACGTCACCATTTTGTCTGCACGATCTGGACAGGTTCAGACAACTTTCCACTCATTGCCAACAGCACGAGCAAACACGCCTCTCTCCGAGGCAGAATAGGAAGGCGAATGTTCTGAACCATCACCGCAATCACCGTCACAAGCCTGTTGGATCCATGCTTGCACATTTCCAAAACAGGAGCGCCCCCGGCCTGTAGTTGACAACTTCCAACGGGTGGCGAACTCCGACTCTCATCGCACCCCTGCACATCCAACGGCACCTCTCCTGCCGCCTGAGGCGCCACAAGCGATTTCTCCGAACCACGATCTTCAGACCAGGGGAGTCTCTCCTCAGAGTCCGCAAGTTTCTCAGCCTTCTCGTCACCAGTGGGCTCCTCGCACAGAAAGCTCGTCTCCTCCTGTTGCTCCTGACATACCTCTTCTGGATCGAGCTCAGCCTTTAACGTCCGTTCGAGACAGTCACTGTGATCCTCACCATGAACGGCCGCATCACCATTCTCCTTTCTCACTCAACGTAGCAAATCGACTTTTGCAAGGGAACATTGGTGAGTTCTTGCTATGCATGCTGGACTTCATGGTACACACAGGCTTTTTGCCACCTTCAACTCCGCCGGCCTCGCTCTCAAGACGATCCTGCACCTGCAGGTCCTTTGTCAAGTCCATGGTCGCCTGCTTTCAGTCTGCTAGCATACGTCGATAGCTTAGCACAAAGTCTTGGTGGGCCTCGTCTGCCATTCCCGTGTCAACCGGAGTGACCATGGTTGAGCAGGGCAGTTCCTCCTTGCACGACCCAAACGAAGCACGATATGTGCTCAGCAAGGCAAGGCAACAGAAAAAAGCAAACCATGCCCCTAAGTCCGTAGCGCATGACAACAAAAGCGCCAAGCAAGGGCTTCGAACACAGGTTGGCGGGAGGCTTTCTACCGTTGGTCAGCCTACCTGTTCAGCAAGCCCGAAACGGGCGCACTAGGTGTGATACGAACGAGATGGACCTCGTCTTCGGGCTTGTCCGTCTGCTTCTCTGGCTCCGCACACACTGCCTCCTGAGACACAGGACACTGATTGGGCTGTTACATCAAGCCGCGACTTCAAGTTTGCAGTCCTTGGAACTTGTTGGTGCGCCTTCCTCCTCCGAGCCCTGCTGGTCCTCACATGTCCGTACGCACGGAGGCCGTGGGCGTGCAGAACTACTCCCACTTTGGGTCAAGTTGACGCCACGGCGTTCAAATCCTTGTGACCCTTCTTCTGCTTGCTGCACTGATATTCATCGAGCACTTGGTTCGAGGTGCTTTCACGAAGTCACAGCCCCAGCAGGAATGCCCCCAACGATGCATTGAACCACCCCACACACATGCACACAAACGCGAACGAAGCACCAAACAAAAACTGATGACAAGCATGGCAAAGTCGGTCCATGACTTCAAGAGTCCCTGCTTATTTTAAGGCCATCATCTTCCTTGTAAGTAGTACTTGTAACAAGTGCGACGTGAGGAAATCGGTGGGCAGGGGTTGATGTTTGGATTGTGCCCACCGCAACGGCAATTTACTCTATTTAACAGCTTCGAAGTCAGGTCTTCTCCTCACGTCTGTTTATCTTGGCATTCGAGGCGAAGGGGAGGATTTGCTTGATGTTTGAACACGGAATTCTCCTACGCTGATAAATGCCTTCTCAAACTTGGAAACGTGGCTTTGCACAAGTCAAAAGGTTTGGTACAGCTCCTCCAGTAGCGTCGGAAGTGGAGCTCGCGATGGTCCCGACCAGTTCTGGCGTGCACGACCTCTTCCCGTCTCCTGATCTCGCGAGACGGGCGCACTCTTCGGCGCTCTGTGCAACCACGACTCCTGCATCTCGCTCTCTCGGGATGTCCGACGACGCCTTGCATCAGCGGGATTAACACTGGGAGCTGCCAAGACATGCGCGAAATCCTGGCATTTAGGATGCCACGTCCGTTCAGCTGAAGATGCTGGGGTGCTCTCAACCACAAGAAGCCGATGCCTGACAGCACCGTCAGGAGTCAAATCACGGGACGCACCCTTCTGCAGGAGCAAGAACTCTCGAGCTGGGCACCCAGCTTGACCAGAAAGTCGCTGGGGATTCCCGCATGTCTGGCGTAGTAGGCAGCGGTGGCACCGTGCGTGTCTCGCCTGGGCAAACATGTCTGCCAGAACAGTGGCGATGAAATTCTGGCCAGCATGGTGATTACCATGAACTTCAGCTGCAGGGAATGACTCGAGGTCTAAGAGCCCTACCACACCATCGAGATCTCGTGGGATTCAGTCCGTGAGGCTACACGCAAGCTAGAGGGTGGCCCAGACCAGGGCTTCGGCATGTCAACGACATCGCGGCTGACCCGGGGCGCCATCCACACGAGGACCTCAGCCCATCACAATATCATGGAGATCTTGAAATTATCAGCTTGTCTTGCTTGCTCGTTTCGTGCAGGGTACCTCGGTAAGGCCTGCCCGGCTGGCGAGATGCAAGGCTGACCTCAGGCAGCAGGCAAATGGAATCTGCGCAGTTTGCTGAAAAGCTTG